ACAGCAACACTGCCTTGGAGACAAAGGGTATTTTGTTAGTGCATATGAGAAATGGCATCGTTATTTGTGATGTTTTTAAACAAGGTGATTACCTATGGGTTTTGTGCTCCTTGGACTCAGGGTAAGGTGGGGAAATGCTTTTTGCCTAAACATTTGTGGAGCCTTTCTTTTGTTCAGATCTATCCAATTTACAGGTCTGGAGACAGGCAGTGGTTTAGAAAGGAGGGTTAAGATTAGACTGTGTTAGAAAATGTCTTGCATATTTTAGATTGCTTTGTTTTAATTGCCTTACATGCAAATGAGTTGTTTATGGAAGGATGGAAGTGTGTACCAAAGTCCCTGCAGAAGGCAGGATCCCAAACATTTTGTGCTTCTACTGGGATGGGACAAAATTAATTTTTCTTTGTGGAATGATTTAATGATGATTTTTAGGTAGAATTGTCTATTTCATCATGTTATCAAGCCTTGAATATGAAACCCTTTTACCAGGGTCTCTAATAGGGCTATTACAGGTTGCAGACCAAAGAAGCTGAAGAGTGTCCTTATAGCTAGCTAGTCCAAGCCTTTGCTATTTTGTGGAGGAGCTGACAGACTCAGCAGAGGCCCAACAGGTCAAAAGGCACAACTTGCAGTAGCTTTTAGTTCCTGTAAGGAAAATATTCTTTAACTGTGGAGAATATCTGCTACTTTGCTTAGCTTTTGGCTCTGAATGTCTCTTATTAGTGCTTTGTTCACAGGTACCTCTAATGTTGTCTAACACTGCAGACTATAGCAGAAAGTTTAGAGATAACATGCACTTTATTTGCAAGGGCCTGAAATCAGCAGCTTTCCCATCACCTGCTTGTCAAATCTTTTTATGGAAAGACAGACACTTTTTCCTAAAAGTTAAGGTGGCATATAAACAATGGCATCTTACTGTTTTAATACAGGAATTAAGTAGCCCTGTTACTGACAGGAGGGAATATGAAAATGCCAGTCTGAGCATTCCAATAAGGTCTGAGGCTGGCAGCAACTTCTAGCTTCTGAGTCACTTGGAGCAGTAGCCTTGAATCACTACTCCTGGCTGACAGATTGCTGTTCAGGAGGGGCCAACTCTGATCTTGATTTGGTGAAGGTCATGCTGCTGATTCCTGATATATAGGAGTGCAATTAGGACAAGAATCAGACCCAAGCAAATTCAAAGCCTCACATGACATACTTTACTTGGGTGAGATTCCAGTTCTTGGCTATCTTTTATCTCCTAACTTGTACAAGGTGCATTCCTACCCCCAGGCTTATGCAGTGGTGTTTCTGGACCACTACAGCTGTTAAAATGTGATGGTACAACAGAAAACCCAGGCAAGATCATCACAGGGTAGGGATAGCTTTTGTTCCTGCATGAAGGAATTCTCAGCTGAAACAGGGTATGAACATGCAGTGTATATAGTTAGATTTTGGGAAAATGTTTGTATGTCTCCACAGATAGAAGCAGGACATCTGGAAGTCCCTGTGTAAACAATGTACAAGCTATTTTTATTCTCAAGAAAGCATTTTGCCTTGCATAGATATGTGCCAGCAAAGGCTGGTCAAGCAGCCTGTCAGAAGACGCTTCATCTCCCACCCAAACCCAGTTTCCATCCTGCCTCTATACAGGGTCTTAGTAAATGTCTTTGTCACAGCTAAGTGACTGCAGTCTGAGAAAGCAGGTAGCAAAATGGGAAATGCTCTTCCATAAGTAAAGGTATGTCAGAATGAGCCTCTTGGTGCAAATGCCTTCTAAAACACACCAACTGTAACAAAGAAATATATTGATAATGCCATAACATTTGCATTCACTGACCAGCCATTATTCTTTCCCATAGGGTCTTGTTTTATAAAAGCCTGGTGAAGGACATTTTTTTTTTTAAAGCAACAGATCTAGTCATTTCCTATATTAGCTGTATCTAATTTTCTGTTGGGACTTTGGGTTTCCCTTTATTTTTGTGATGTATGTGCTAAAATGTAATGGATTCTCTTTCCATAATATTTTTGACAGGCTGACAATAGTGTGATACACACCATAATTTAAAGCAATGCAGGCTTTCATTGTGGATTATTGGATTATCAGATTGTGTGACTTTTATTTATTTATTTATTTATTAAGTGTTATATGATTGAGTGCAGGAGGAATTGGCACACTAAATTTATGAATGACTGTTAATGAATAAACTTCTCTTACTGAAACTGAAATAGCAAAGCTATTCCTGGACCAGAAAGGCTGGTAGATTTTTTTGGCCTGTTATAAACTGAACACATAACACAAAGTGGGAGTAAAAAGAAAAACATTGCTTAGTCAGTTCTGAACAGGAATTATTGCTTTGGGTTTTTTGGTTGTTTTCTTTTCTTCTTTTTTTCTTTGTTTGGAAAATAATTGCAAAATAGAAAACAATTTGTTTCAACTTCTCCCTACAACTGAATTCAAGCATTTTCAAATTTTCTTAATTTGAGGAAAATTATTCTTCCAGAAATAGCTTTTATATTCAATATAACATAATTGTATATAGCCCATGTATGTATAGGTATACAATTTGTAACAGTATAAATATCAAAATTAGAACCTGAAGTGAGTGGTTTACCAAGATTTTGAATGCCCAGGATTTAAATTGATGTGCTGAGAATCTGCAAGTGCTCACATGTGTTGTGGTGCATAAGCGTGCATCATAGAACAGGATCAGCAAGATAAGTGTCAATCAATTTCCCTTGTTAAGGCAGTTCAGAGGAAAGCCAGACAGATGCTTTATTACTAGGGCCATAGGAAACTCAAGCCTGGAAATGCCCCTTATTTTCATTATTTTCCTTTTGCCTTTTAGCTTATTTATGGACAACATTCCAGAGCATTTTTTTGTTTAATCTTGTTTCTTAATCTCTCTGCTTCAACATTCTTTAAAGAGTTTAATGCAGATACGTATGCTTCCTAATAGTCCACCCCACTGTATTGTGCAGTGCTGCTGTACAGTTGTGGCTGACTAAAATGGGAAAGGATGGCTCTGAACTATTGGGTGTTGTGCATTGTTTTTCAGATACTGGTGACTTTAGCAATTTCTAGAACTTCTTTCTGGTTTACCTAACAGATAAACATCTAAATGCTTTGAATTCATGTCACAATCTTGCTATCTTTGATTTTTCTGCAGAATTATGAAAAAAGTAGGGGTATCTTAATTTTTATGCCTGAAAAGACTTTGGTGTTCAAAAGGAAAGAGACTGCTAGATAGAAAAGTCTGATCAGTATCAGCAGGTATGTTGCTATGTTTCATAAAACAGTAAGCATTGTAGCAGTGATGCTGGTGTAAATAATGTTTGCTCTTTCTCATTAAAATATGAGACTTTGATATAAATACAGAAATGCAGAAATAAGAGCCATGCCACTGAAATAAGTCAAAGACTGAGCAAGTTCAGGTCATGAAAGAAGGCTTTTTCCAATTGCATGTATCTGGCATCTAACACTTGCTACAACAGGCTCCATTATTCATGCAAAGACAGAAGAGCTTCTAACTTCCAATAGTGGGTGGTTTTGTTTTTTTTTGTCCATTTAATAAAAGCAGTTCAGGGAGAAATGGACCAGAAACATTCTTTAAGAATAAACCTGTTCTGCTTCTACCTTAGACTTAATGGGAAACTGAACATATGTAAAGCGGAATCAATGTACAGCTAGGTGATTGATTGATGGATATAATTGCAAAAAGCTTCCCACATCCCCTTTGGCTTTCATTTAGAGTCTGTAAGGAAAAGATGTTGAAAACAGCATGAAAGAAAAAAGTTGGGAAGAAAGAATTTCCTTGCTTAATGTGACTTTCAGCACAGCAAACTGAAGAGATAGGGTGAGCCCTCTTTGAAAAGGAGTCCCACGATTTCTCAAGTGAACATACCTAAGCAGTGAAAGAATCCCACGGAACTCACCTTAACCTGCAACCTGAGGATGGGCAGGGGGCGAGGTGGGAATATTTACCCGGGCAAATTCAAGTGCAGCATTCCCAGCCGCCACTAGCTGTCACTTTGCAACCAGCCGGGGTCGGTGTTTTCAGCACTGCGGTTAGAGAGATTGCGGTGCTAATTAAACAGAGTAACCCCCAAAGCCGCGGAAAGTCCCGAGCCCGGAGCTGTGTGATAGCCTCGGGGAGGCGAAAAGGACCCTCAAGATAGGCAGAAAGCCGCTGTCCTAAGCCTGAGGCTCTACCTAGGGTCTGTGCCCTGAGCTCGGGGTGTACACGGCAGTCCAGCCCGGCAGCCCCCGGTGCGCGCACACTTCTCCCGTGAAGCCGAGCCTTACCTGAAGAAAACGATAGTCTCCCACACGTAGACTCCGAGCGCGTTGACGTTGCACATTTTTCCAGCTCTCGCTGTGGTTTGTTTTGTACTCCGTGAGGGGTGGGCCGGTGGGGTTGGCCAATAAAGTAACCCGGCACTTGGGAGAATTGGTAGGGGAAGCGAGCCACCCCTCCCGAGGCAGGCTGGGCAGGGGAAGGCCAAGGGCTCCGCTCAGCACCTTGGGCGGTATCAGGGGAGGGCAGCTGAGATCAGGACCCTGGACAGCGTCTGTCGGGCGGCTTCGGTCGGGACCCTGGACAGCGGCGGTGCGCCGCGCTCCGAGCCCGGCTGCTCGGCTCCAGCGCTGCCTCGGCTCGTCCCTCAGCTCCGGCGGTGCCCCCGCCGCCGCCACTGCAGTGGTGCTCGGGGCCGGAGGACCAAGCTTCCCGCACTGAATTCTCCCTTCAGCGGGATCTGGCTCCGGACATCAGGCTGGCGAGAGGGAGTGATGCAGGGGGTGTAGGTTTGCCATCAGGGTGGCGGGGGGTAAGATGGGAAGGGGTGGGTGGACGACAACCCTTAACAACCCAAGGCTTTAATCTCCGCTGCTAGCCGGGGTGTCTTCCTAATTACATCCACAGGAATTTTTCAGTGTGGAGCCGTGCTGCAGTCCCGGTTGTGGCGCTTTCCTGCCCGCCGTTTGGCTTCTGTTGATTCCTGCTTCCTGGGCTATTTTCCTCCCGGATAAGTTATTGCTGCTGTAGGGTAGGTGTCCCATTGCTCAGGGCTAGAGCGGAGGGGAGCGAAGGGGAAGTTTCTTGGGAAGCACTCCCATTGTGCTCAGAAAGAAAGTGGCTCAGTGTCCTCCTAATGCATCTCATTTCCCCTCTGCCCTCTCTCCCTTGCCAGGACTCGCCAGATCTTGGGAGTTTCTTGCTGCATTAATTTACTAAACTAAAAAAAAAAATAAAAAAAATTGGGGGGGGAAGGAGGAGGAGGTGGAGAAGAGGGAAGGCAGAGGGGAGGGGGGAGCTCGATCTCTCCACCATCCCGAGGCCCTCCTCTTAGCTGTCCTCATTGGTCTCAGGGCTGAAAAAACTACTCTAGGACGCGGTTGGATAAACGCATGCTGTTCGGCAGCAGCTGTTAACCTTTAAAGCGCTGACACGTTTTGGTTTATTTCATTTTTTTTCCTACACGAATTGCTGTCTTTTTAAGAAGTCTCTGAAATTGTCTCCCTTGACAGGGCAAGCGTAGCCTGCCTTAAGTCTCCATCTCGTGGAAGATCTGCTTGGTTGGCAGTTGCTATTTGTTGCTGTTGGCTTTTAAGGAACATCTCTGGGTTATTGGCTTTTTTTGTTTGTTTGTTTTGTGTTTGTGTGGTGATTTTTTTGTTGTTTTTTTCTTTTCTTTGTTTTATTTGATTATTTTTGTTCCCTTTTGCATTCGGTTTTGCAGAGAAGTTTGGCAAATACCAGAGCCATCAAGGTCAGGGAAGGTAAGGAACGTTTAGCAGTTTCTTATCTCAGCTCCAGCTGTGCTCGCAGGGTGCTGAGTGTGGTGGTCCGCGGGAAGGAGGGGAGGAATGGGCTCTTTAGTCACTTCATCAGCGTATTACTCTGCTCGGCTTCTCCTCAACTTCTGAGAACTGAAATTAAAACTCCTAAACAATCTAGGATTTCTTTCTTCTTGTTCTGGTGTAATGGGGTTTTTGCGTTTAAGTTCCGTTCTGTTTACTTGTCCTGTGCTTTGCAAAACTCCCCATGTCAAAGAAATATTTGCTTTTAACACCTTTTTAGCTGTTTTTAATCTGTTCAAACACTTGTCCCACCCCATGTTGTTGGGTGGGTGGAGGTGAAATGGACTGCTTGCTCCACTAATACCATAGTCCCCCCCACGGAAATAACTAAGTTTTTCTTCTCACTTTGGGTTGCATCTCAGAGGACCTTCCTGCCATACTAAAATTCACCTCATGTTTTTCATTGCCTGTTTTTATTTGTTTTAAAGCAGGATATTTACGTAGCTAAGATGGCAGAAATATCCTTTGGGTTTTCATTCAATAAAAAAAAAAGGAAGAAAGACCTGCTTGGCTTCTAGCCATTGATACAGAAGGAGTTTAATCTGATTTACTCCAGCTACTGGGTCTCAGTGTCTAGCCAGATTAATAACAGGCTCTGATTTCAATTCGTGGAGATTCCTGGGGATGTGATTTCACACAGTGTTTCCTGCCTGCTCCTTGCTGGCTCCTCACTGTACTTTCTCTCCTGATAGTTACCCCCACATGGATGATGAGCCTGTCACTGTACTTCTCCAGCCCCCAGTGTGCTGACAGAGCAGAGCAGGAGCTCCACACTGGGAGTGTTAACAGGACGGGCACAGCAGGAGAGAAATGATGTTTCCCTGTTATTTTACTGGGGAGTAGGACAAAGAGTAGGAGGCAAAATCATCTCTTGGCACCTGCAGGTGAAAGCTGGAGGCTAGTCAGCCTTCTGGTTTCTTTAGAAATGGGCTGTGTAAGATAATGACTGTCTCATGTGATTTCTCTACTGGCTATAAATTTAATCTACTTTATACCAAAGGAATCTGGACTTGTTTCATTTTGTCACAATTTATGTTCTCATAACTTCCTTGGATTAGAAGAGCAGGGTGTCTGCCCATTAGTTCGAGGAAGCAGATATTTGCCCCTAGAAAATATCACTTATATCTCTTCCTGGAGCTAAGGAAGTTGTTGTTGCTTGCCTTGGTACGGTGCCCTGTATGTGTTACTTGCATGTGTCAGACCTTGGTTGGGGTGAATCCAGATTCTTGGAGTTCCCATCCTCTGATTTAACCCAGGTGACTCAAGAAACATCCAACCAGTCCCACTGAAACCTATCTAGGGATATCTGTGGTGAAGTTACCAGTTTTGGTTCTGTATGTTACCTGATTTTTAGCTTTATTTTCCTCTCTACGAAGCTAAAGGCAAATAACCCAGAAATCAGGTCTGGAGATCTAATGATGCCTGGAAGTCAGTTCTATTGTTGTTATTACAATGTAACTCTTGACATCAGGTATTGGTTGCAGGTCTCCTCTGTCTGGTTCTGTCATGGCTTGTTCATATATTGGGTTTTACTCTCTGCTTGTTTTTTTAAGCTTTGTTTATTTATTTATTTATTGGGGAGAGGTGGGTTGGGTTCAATTGCAGGTCTCTTATTTTTCAAGCTGAGTACAAATTGTTTAGAAAGGTGATTTATCTTTCTCTGGTGCATTTGTACAAATGACGGTGTTGAAGATAACTTATTATGTCAGATGAGGCTCTTAAAATTAGAATTACCTGCTGTGTATAAACCTTGTTGCTTCATTAGTTTGCTTCAAACTGGATGAGTCTTGTAAAACTCACTGTAGATGAAGAGGTCTTGGAAGCTTCTGTGTCATCTATGAACATGCCCCTTATGCTGAGAATTAACCTAAAGCCTCATTCACAGCTGCAAGTCGATTTCATTCTTGTTCTGTTTTTCATCTCCATATTTTATAGCAAGTAAAGTGATTTTTAGTTTCTTTTGTTGTCTCTTTAAAATTAAAATTCTGATAATAAATTCATACATGGGGGTAGGCTTTTTCAAGCTGGCCACACACACACTGCTGTCCTTCCCAGATAAACTACAGGATTTTCAGTGAAGAAGTGGCTAGCGTAGCAGGGAAGTGCACTCAGTTTATTTTAGGAATACTAAATCCATTATTGTCAGTCTGTTTTTTGGAAAATGGCTAATGAGGAAACAGTGCCGCAAGAATGTGGATTGTGCTTCCCAGGACAGAGATTTAAATTGCTCCAGTAGCACTACTTGTTTTTTGACACTGGACAAATGAAAACCAAATTTTAATTTAAAGTTAAGTTCAGGGAATTTTTAAGAAAGATTCTATAAAGTAAATTCCTATATTAGATAATTTCCATATGTAGCAAGCAATTTTTGCACAAGATTGTTCAACTGAATGCAATTTTCTTAGAGACTTGAGAACCTGGGATATTCTTATTTAATAACTGCTGGTAAAATAACACCATAAAATATTCCTGTGATGTTTTGTAAACTGAAGTGTTTAGTGAAGATTTTTTTTTTTACTGGAAATATATAGAGATGAAAGAGAAATCACTGGAACTAATGTGAAGGTTCATTGTATCCGTATTTCCATAAATATGTTTAAAATTGTACTCTGAAAATTTTAAATTCTGTTTTGATATACAGTGGATCCATGGAAAACAAGCACTGGAGCTTTTTCATAGGAAATGCAGCGGAACTTGGAGACTAAGGTTAGAAGGCTGCTAGGAAAGGAGCTGAGGGATTTGTGGTGTAGGTGATGGATATTTTTGGCTGAAATTCAGACCAATATCACTGTTGACAGTCCTTAGCCCCAGTTGTTTAAATAATGCTAGGTCTAACCATAGAAATGGAGCTCGTCTTAGAAAAAGGACCAAAGCTAAACTTGGCCAATATGCTGGAACTTCTTGGTTATGAAGTGCTCCATCATGCATGGTATATCCTTATAAGATTATCTCCCGGTTTCATAAGGACCCTTTCTGAAGAGCTGCACCCAGGATGAGAAATGCTGAGGTGCAAAACTCTGAGGTATACTTTGAGCCAGGGAGGGTTTCTTCAGCCATGCACACCCACATCTATCCACCCAAGGTGTCTTGTTGCTATATACAATATTTGCGTTCTCAGAAATGTGTGAAATAGTCGAGTGGAAGTGTCCTGTACAGGACTGCTGAGGTTTCCACATCCTACTCTTTCTGTACAGGTACTCATTTGAAGTGCCTATATGGTGCCTAGAAATTTGCTGCCCTGTTTCTAATAGTGCACATAAGCTTTTCCTTCATGTAAGGGCATATATACACTGTAAGCTGAATGTGTTAAACATGAAGATTCCTGCCCTATGTCTCTTTCTGCAAAAAGAACAGTTACTTAGATTGTCATTGGCTTTCATGCTCCTGGACAATATATTTCTTGACAAGTACACTAGGGGATGCATTGATTTCTTGTTGATGGAAATACAGTACCCATGAGTCTAGTGGTACCCAACCTATGATCGTAGACTCTTTGGGAGTGGTGTGAAGCCCTGTGCTAGGATGACTTCATGACAGACTGTGACTATATGTATGCAGAAGGCCAAGTGAAGTACTTGCTGAGTGCAGCATTAGGGTCTTCCTGAACCCTGAATGTTTGTTTGCCTCTCATGTCAGGTGCATTAATCAGGTTAAGGCAGTAATCCTTGAAGAAGAGGAAATAAAGAAGAGCAAATGGTCATTTTCCCCATAGCATTAACTAATTTCCATGTTATGTCATGTAATGACACCTGACTTGAGCTGTGAATAGCCTTGCTACATATCCTAGGCTTGTCCTCATTATAATTTACATATAAAAGAAAGTAAGCTGCATGGACCTTATAGCCCTAAAAAAACCCCATTGCTACTTTCATTAAAAGCTTGATTTGCAGGTCATAAGTTAATTATTTTCTGACCTGTACAGAGTAATTATGAGGCAATCCCAGAGAACCCAGAAGTACTGTTTCTTTCAAAGATCTTGGCCATTGAAACTTTTTTTGTTGCATTATTGTGTGAATATAAGATAGGATAAAGTTGCTTTTACAGTCAGCCTTGCCAGAACTTGTCAGGTGCTGAACATTGTGCAGTTGAGATACTATTTCAGCTTTTTTTTTTTGCAAAGCCTATTGCTCCTGCCTTAGCAGCCCTCAAGTGCTGTGGGAAATGGAACTTTCCTACTCTTACCTTGCTTGTAAATGAAAGAAGCCATCTATTTGTTTTGAGGTGAGCAAGCACCAGGTTTTGTGACATGCTTGCAGAGAAGCAGAAGCATACAGGGCAGACCTAGAGCTGTTCACATCACCCTCTTCATTCCTGTTGTCATGGACTAATAAAAAAAAAAACAAACAAAAAACCAACAAACCAAAAACCATAAGAAAAAGAGGAAAAAAATATATTGCATACTTTCATTGCTTCATTTGCCTTGTGAATTCAATAGGGTTGTATGTGAGAGACACCATGAAGTGAAACCCTTTAGAGGAAAACTTTGATTGCAAACAGCAGGCTCAGAAAGCAAGTCAGGAGACAACAGCCAGTGATGCTGAAGTGGCTTCTCAGTGTGTGTTTAGATACTGAAACGTCCTTTTACATGCCCCAGTTAATTCATATGACCAAGTAGCAATTTATCTTCTATGAGCCAAAGAAACAAGGTGCAACTTCTTATTCTTTTTTATTTTTTAAGCTTTGGCAACGGACATATTTGTACATCAGAAGGGTCTTTCTATAGTTCAGCTAATGGAAAAGCACTAAAATATCAGTGTTTGCAAGTTTTGCAGTGTTGTTCTGTTGCTGCCTTTGCCTGCTGCTTGCTTGCAAAAGATGAAAGTTGCAAAGCCTTTGCAAGTTCCTGTAAGCATCAGTGACCTGTATTTATTAAAAGGAATGGAAGTGTAAAACCCAGGGTGTATGCAACATGGATTTTT